TGAGTTCATGTGCCCATCTCCGGCCATCGACGAACACCTTCGGACGTCGTCCTCGGCGCAGGAGACGGTGACCAGTAAAACCAATGAAACCGTGACCGAGACCAGTGAAAAAATAGATGCACACGGAAATACGCTTATTGTCGTGCCGGATGTCGGATATTGGGCGACGACTTGGTCGCCGCCGGACGCTGATAAGCCAGTCGGGCAGCGAGGAGCGACTTCATAAGCCCGTTATGCTTACGTGTGATGCGGTGCAGCCTATGCACAGACACCCACACGCCCGCCATCTAGTATTCGTCATTGGAAATATAAAGACGTTCGATAGGGAGCCAAATAAACCATGTATGTAAAACAAGCGTGTGGCAAACAATAGTCATTAGCCAAGCATGCAGGCTAAGGGGCGGGGTGCTCACATCCTGCAGCTCCTGCTGTCCTGCTGGGGAGGGGAGCGGAGCAGAGGCACGTGGAGTCCATTTACTCATGCCTTTCGGGCACGAGAAAATGAACTCCACGTATGCCTTTAGGGCATAAAGCCAAGAAATACCACACAACGCCGGCTTATCCGTGAGGTTGTTCACACTGTGCTGTTCAAAATGCAGATGCAGAACAAAACGGTCCTTTGTAACGATAGGCACCTAGCTGCAGCCAATTTTCTAAGAAAAAATTAAACCTTAAAAATAGCGAGTGTCATGGAAAACATCAGCTTCACGTGAAGAAATCACAATCGAAATCGCAATCCAGTCAGCATGCGTTGCTAGATTTTCGACTCTGCTCCGACATGCCGCCCTCAAGTTTCTCCGCGCACAAAGCCTCACCTCCGCAACCATATAACCGCTAGCTTAGAACTAGCAGTTTCCGATCCCACGTGTTCAAGCTTGTGATATTCGTACGAAAAGCTAACATCTCTAGCTAAGCTAACGTGACTACAACGTGTTCAACCGAGCTACAGGTGACGCACCAGTGTTCAAATAAAATTCGAACTTCTATTCTAGATGACCGGCCAGTGTTTATCAATACTTTGCTCAACTTATGCACTAGATTTCGTTCTTGGAAAGGCTTCACAGCAGAAACCGGGCAGACAATGGGTCGGTAATCGCGGGTCATACACTGCCTGAGTGCATCGCAAAAAGCTCTCTTCGCTGTAAACACTTGGCTAAAAGGGACTGAACAACAATATTCGTTTAACTGAACTTCGAACAGTTAAACGCTCGGGTTCAAACCGCGCACAAAAAAAGGTTTCCCCGGCGTGTGCTTCTTCCAAATTCCTAGCGGCACGTACATGTCACTGCAACCTAGGATGCACGTATAACGCAAAATGAACTTGTTTTCCATCCGGCAAGACCGCAAACTTCCTTATCGCGGAAGGTCCCCCCATTTCGGAGTTCGAAGTATTTAAAAGGAGTCGCAGGACAAGAAGTCGATGAATATTCTGAAAAGTTTGAGACCAAAACACCTCCCAATCCTCATTTAGTTGCAGTAAGTCCCGTGAGTGACTTACTGTAACTAAATGAAGACTGTTCTGCTCCAGTCTACAAGACCGGAAGGAGCTAAGCCGCGTCTCAGATTGAGCGCACTTCACCCGGCCTCAGTACACCACACAGATGGTAGGCACACCTGCTCCGCCTCAGTACACCACTCATCTGGAAGGCACACCTGAGCCTACCACAGAGTCGGACCAAGATGCGCCTGTCACCGACCACCGGCGCTGGCGCGCCGTCAAGACATCATAAACTCCGCAGCCCATGAGCCAGACTACACTGTCCATACCAAAAGGCTGACGAACTCGCTCATACCGCCCACCTGCAGAGGCTGACGAACTCGCCTATACCGCTCCCTTGCAGAGACTGACGAACTCGCCGATAAATATAACTCGCCGATAACTCCATTGCAGATTAAAACAGTGTAAGAATAAATCACCTAATCATTTTCAAGAATAGCTGAGCCGTGATCATAGCCTGACAGGTCTCGGGAACAGACAGTAACTCAAGGGCCCACTCATTACACGAAAAAGGCGGATCCTCCACTAAGAGCTTCACTAAGACACCAGCAAACGCTTCATAAGCAGCAATTCCTGCTGAGACATGGGCATGAGTGCCTCCTTATCCGACAGTCCTCCTGATAATCAAGAGGACTGCGACATCGACACCTATCACCCGTGCGCCAGTCCTGGCGTCGGCCGGGCAACTCTTCTCTGCTCTGCGCACTGGCACATGTCCTCACCCGTGATGCACGCTGCGATATTGACAGAGGCGCCCGCTCTCGCGAGGCGCCTCCTCCTGTGAGCTCAGCGACGGCAGAGGCGCGTCGCTGCGCGTCTGTGGACCGTCACGCGGCCCCAGGCGACGGGCCGGGCAGACGGCACGGCCGTCGGTCCGCGCCGTCTCGGCCGCTGCCGGCGCGCCGCCTCCACACCAGCTGATTGCTCGCTTTCGGAGGCGGCGTCGATTGGGGCAGCGGCGCCGCTCTCGGCCCGCGCCGCGCCCTTTACGACAGGTGGTAAAATCAGGCCGAGACGGCGCCTGATCGGCTCCGGCACCGCGCGCCGGTCGCAAACAAAATTAACAGGCGGCGGCGCCGCCAGGTCTGGTCGAAGCGTCGAGGCAGTCGGCACTGCCGGCCGCCATCGGAGCAGTGATGGAGAGCGCTGGTCCTCTGCGCGGGGACCGGTCGACAGGCCCGTAAAAACGCACAGGCTGCTGACATTTGGACGACGCACTGGTTGGTCCTCAATATAAGAAAGACAGTACTCCCTGGTACTGGTACTCGATATACGAAAAGAAACCCTTAAATCAGGTATTCTTGTTCACCCCCTCCCACATATATATATATATATATATATATATATATATATATACATTGCCATTACTTTGACCACTCAACATGACCGCCGCCATGACATGTCCGGTATTCACGTAATGCGTCCCAATCATTGCTGGATATCTCGTGTAATTAATAACTTCCGATAAACTTAAGGTCGTTAGTCTCACCTACGAAGTCCTAATACAATAGCACTGCATCACTCACGTTTCATCTTAATAATCGTTGTCCCTTATCAGTTGGTGCAAGATAACAAGCACAGTGGTTTGCAAGTAAACAATACGGTTTTGATTCAAACGATGAACTGATGCTGCTTCGTTACGTGCGTGCCATACTTTTCACATCAACTGGCCTTTTCCACACGTGGCAGGAACACTGATTTTAACCTGCTCCATCAAGCCTATTGAGGCGTTTTTCATCAGGCCCATTCAACCTCCCGGAGCATGGCCCACATACAAATATGAGGCGCCACTAATAAAGCCAAATGTTTAGCAAAGACGGGTGGACGGACGTCAGCACGGCCGCGCACCAGCCGAAGTCCCGAGCATGCGTGGCCTCCGTATCGATTTCCCACAAACCAGTGTAGAATCCGCTCTTTCCGTGAGGTTTCCGCCTTTCCGCCTTTGTCCGCGGAACGCTACCGTCACGCGGCAGAGAGCTCGCTCTGACAGCAGATTCTACAACATGCTTTAATTGGGAGTTCTTGTGAAAAGTGCCGGCACCGGACACAGTGGAATGCAGTCCTTACTCTCATCGACAGCCAATGATCTTCATGGCAACTGCCATCCCAACTAGCTGAAGCGATAATACTACCGCCACCTTTAAAGGGAGTGTTTCACATCTGAAGATGATGAAGCAGTCATCAGATAGGGTGAAACAAGCTTTCTTATAGCCTTAAGTATGCGTTTTAAGTGGACAAACTGCTCTAGACAGCACAACTTTCTGTTTAGGAAAGATGCTCCTCAATGTGTCACGGCTTGATCACGTCAGCGTACTTCACACAACAATGATTGAGTGCCCATTGACGGCCGGTACATCTGGAGATCGCCCTCACGAACGCCAGACGTGAACGCCTCGACGGCTATATTTTTCTTGGCCTTGATCGCCGCTGGCTTATGGAATGATAACATTTGAATTACGTTATTATGACGTCATGAATGCCAAAGTGACTTTGAAATACCCTCTCCGATATACATTTTCCCACTTTCGCGGGCGTGTAACTCAGGAACTGAAGGGACTTAGGTCTTGAGAAGGGCAGGATTGTGAACAGCACCGAAAGGTCTTCAAAATGGCTATTTCAATTCAAAACCCCATTCCAATGTGGGACAATCCCTTTAATGCCCGCAGCCAAGTCAGGGCCAGTGGAGTATTAGCACCATGCGAGATCTGAGTGCGAGTGGCAGGGTCCGACGCCTGTTTCTTCCCGACGACACCATCGACGGTGCCTTCCACTAGCGCTCACGCCACGGAAGTGCCCATAACGAAGCCAGAGAAGCTCCAACGGCCCCTGTCGGAGCTGGAGGAGCTCTGGCAGTCCCTGACGAAGCCAGAGGAGCTCCGGTGGCTTCTGCTGGAGCCGGAGGAGCTCTGGCGGTCTCTGTCAAAGCCGGAGGAGCTCCGACGACCCCCGCTGCCCACGTCGGCCCAATTATCAGCTGTGTCCACAGCCGTCCTCTGTCAGTATTGGCTCGGCTCGGCGCTGACCGACGGCCGGCCGGGCGCGCCGCACCGTCGGTCAACAGCGGAGGGACCGGCGTTGGGAGAAGCGCCGCGGGCGCCGGTGAGCCCGCCGAACCGACCACACCGGTACGGCGGCGGCTGCCTCGGCCGTCTCAACAGTGCTCCAGCAGCGCCGGCGGCCCCAGCAGCAGAGTGAGAATGACAGTTTCGTTTTATGAGGGATAACCATTAAAACAGCACGCGGATCCCGGCTTCCAATTCAAGAGACCGTAAACGGCTGGTGTTTTTCTCACCGTGCACCAGCAGCACTGTGGGTATGACAAGCGTCGCAAAGCTAGAAGCATAAATCATCCCTTAGCACAGAAGAGAATGAATTAATGAAAACTTAGCTCGCCGACGCATGCGCTTAAATGGAGCTATGCTACATGTATTCATCCTTCACACAATGGAGAAGGGACCTTCCTGTTTTTGTGTCAATCTCTGGCCCAAATGCGGTGGCTCACCAATAGAAGGAAGGCGCCGAATGCCAGACAGAAGCAAAGTGGGCCGGCCAGGTCCGTGTCCTGCAGTATCTCAGCGTCCGTCTGGCGAAACGGGTTCAGCGCCGACAGCGTCTGCAACAGAGCGGCCAATCAGATGATCAGGCCAGGTCGCCACGTGGGCGGGTCACAGAGGGAGGTCAGCCCGCAGAGCCAGCAGCACTTCGGCTGTAGGGCCACGCCACAGCCGCACACATGGCCCAATAATGGCACGCGGGCACCATGCTACTACTTGTGGAAATCATTATTCGAGCGTTCACGCAACTTAACAGCTTGTAGCGAACCATTCATATCGCCATCAGCATTCGCGATGGTTGTTGTGCATCAGGCGCTGATCATCAGTGACCTTCAGATACCCCTCATCGGAGTCATTCACGATGTGCAGAGCCCTTTAATTGCGTCCAGTTGTTATCAAAATATGAATTCGTATGTCTATCCATACGTCATGAACCGGTCCTGCAGCCGGGAAGTACAAACGATCATCAGAATAAGGACGATGTGGGAGTCCAAAGAAATTAGGCCACACACCTGGCTTTCTCTTTCACTACAGCAGTCATCACTAACGGCTTCCACAAGGGAAGCCCGCCCCATAGTCCTGCCTTGACCGGTCCGTTAACCCTTTGAAAATGCCTGATCAATGCAACCATCGAAAGAACTGGACAGGAAAACCCCCCAAAAAACAAACCACGGGTCAGGTAACGACGACTGGAGGGGACAAACCAACCTGCCCATGGATCAGGTAATGACGATTGGACAGGGCAAACCAAACTGACGTTTGACCAGGTATCAGGTGGAACTTATGGCGGTGTCGATAGCACAGCGATCCTACTTAGCTCCACATTTATATGAATTCAATAAAATGCGCGGTAAAAGCGGGGAGGCAAAATCCACCAAGATGCTCCGAGACATGTTTTTCTAAGTCGCACTGCGTCCAATCGCAAATCATCGTGTTTCTAGGGACGCCCATTCCGTTCAGTGGCAAATTGCGCAGGGCGGGCGGGTTCAGGCGCATAAATGATACCATCCGATGAGAGCTTTCTGATGATGGGAGCACGCACGCACGGGAGCACGCACGCAATATCTGCAGTCGTGTCTGGGGAGCTGCGGACTATTTCCATCATCGCCGAGGAGTAATCTGAGCTCCCCGAGAGCTCAATCTGCTCATTTATTAAACCGGAGGCACCGGAACAATGAGAAATAATGAAACCAAATCTTGGCATAGGCATGCTAGACTTCAGACTTTCAGCTGGTTAAATGTGCCGTTCCATTAGATGGGATTACAGCTTCACGTTTCGTCTCAAACACGATAGGTGCTTCTATCACATGTAACGGTTCTTCTTGATTGAAGACCTTGACTATTTAAAGTTGTTGATTCCGCGACTAATACAAATATTGAATAACTTCAGGTTCCGATTCCAGAGGTCAACCGAGGACACATCATCCAATGTGATCATATTTTGTTGGGTGCTATATTCCTGGAGATCGGAGGATGTAAGGGACAAACTTGATCGACTCGGCACGCAACGAACCATACATAGCTTTCGAACTTTCACTTTTAGATGAGCATCGCTAATGTTACATTATTCTCTGTGGTCTGAGTCACAAAATCGACTTGATACCATCAACACAGTTGAGGGCATGGCAGGCACAAGATCAGGAGCACCGATTTCGGCACGCCAATATGTAGCCGCAGCTTTCGACGCTTTCCTTGACATGATACATCCCTTGTACCACTCTTAGTGACTTGAGGCATTGCACGGACGAGAACGGGGTTTCAGATATTTTAATTTTTTCTTGCTTTTTATTCGTTTGGACAGGATTAGGATCACGCGAGCAAGCAAGCCACTTACGGACACAAAACCAATGCGAAATAGCATTTCTGCCCATTCATTCACGGATAGAGTACGGATGACAGTTGCTGACGCACACCATTATGTGGCGGAATACGGGTATCCGTGCCCGAAAATCGCCTTTCGTGCTCATCCTTGACGGTCATCTGATAACGAGAAGAGCCAAGCTAACACGGTCAAATACAGGCCAAATTTAGTCGTTACACTAAATGTGCTCAACTGGGGTGATAATGAGTCACAACTTTTGCAACAAGCTACGCTCGGCAAGTAAGCTGATCACAAAATCATCCCTGCAAAGCGTTCCGTCAACTTTATTCTGGAAAGTCCTGAACCCTCACCCTCACAACCCGGCCGGAGACGAGCGGGCCCGGCTGTCGGGGCCGAACTGTCGCCGCGCCGAGACAATCTCATGAGCCGCACCAGTCGGCCCCGGCTCCGTAATGTATGCGGCCTGGATGCAATATAGCAGCGCCGGCCGGCAGTCGCAGCCGCGCGGCGGCAAACACTCGGCCCGATTTATTCGCGCAGCCCGACGGCGCCGATCAAACGCGGCTGTCTGAGGCCGACAGGCCGGGTCGGAGCTGACGGACGGATGCCCCGACCGCGCCCCGCTCCCGACCACGTGACGGTCACCTGTCACCGGTCCCGGGTCACGGGCGGCGTGACGGGTCTGCGCTGCTTCGAGACGGAGCCGGAGACGGCTGGGCCGGTCTTCACGCCTCAGCCCGCCCACTACTGCACAGGTGGCCAAACATTCTGCGACACATGCGTAGGTTCTCGTCCCAGAAATGGCGCTTATGTGCGTCGTCAAGGACGGCCCATTAGCAGCTGGCCAGGAATACGAGGCTGGTACGGGAGGCCGTGTCTGCCGGGACGCTCCGTAGCACGTGAAATCAACGAGAACTCCAAACTTTTTTATGCACGTTGGCACAGCACATGAACGCGCGAAACAACTCCCCTGCACTATCATGAAACAGGTTGGATCCATTCCCCTTCAAAATGACTATTAAGTGTGGAGGTAGCCTGAGGCTTGATGAGTATCCACGTGGAGAGCGGAAACTCATGAATGGGTGTCGTCTTGCACCCATCGACATCCAAATCAGCAGAGGCATCCAGATTCATGACGGAATGTCGTCTTGTACAGCCGTGCCTCAGAAGCTGCGCCTTTCAATCCGTCCGATTGGCTCCCTGAGAGGTTGGCCTCAGCCTCATTCCCGTCATAGTAGGTCACTGTCCAACTTTCTGTGTTATGAAGCACAACATTTATTTCGTGCTCGAAACATGCACTCAACGCACAACGCTGGAAGCGGGATAGCTGACGTACGTTGACGCCATGTATTGTGCTGACGTATACCAGACGACAATAACTCGATCATATTTTACTTGACTTTAAGCAGTACATGGCCATTTATTTGGCTGCATTCGCGTGACGTTTCTATAACGTTTCTGGAACAAGATAGTCTTAAAGGGAATGCTACACATTTGAAGATATTGACATAAGTATCAGCTATGATGAAATGAGCTCACTTCGAACTATTCGTTTACCTTTAGGTGGGAAAGACTGTCCTAGAAGACACAATTTCTCTTTTCAATGATTCTGCTTCTTTACGCGTCATTGTTTGATTACGTCCGCACGTAGAACACTCCCTCTCAAGGGAGTGTTTTAGAGACCGTCGATGACGTCGTCCGGGAAGAGACAGGCGTCAGACTCTGCCACTCGCGCTCAGATATCGCACGGTGCTTCACCGACCCTGTCTTGGCAGTGGGCATTGAAAGGAGTGTTCCACTGTGATGTGGGATTTTGCGCTGAAATAGCCATATTGGTGACCTTTCGGTGCTGTTCACAATCCGGCCCCTCTTAAGATATAAGCCTCTCTAGTTTCTGAGCTACACGCCCGCAAAAATGGGAAAGGTATATAGGGGAGAGTATTTCAAAGTCATCTCGGCATTCATGACGTCCTAATAATGTCATTTAAATCCTGCTGTTCCATAGGCTATGCGGAGACTAAGACCCATAACTATAATCGTGGAGGCGTTCATATCTGGTGCTCGAGGGCGCGACTTCCTGATGCAACGGCCGTCAATTGGCTCTCAATCAATTTTCTGCAGGGTACGATGGCGTAATCAAATCATGACGCACTGCAGAACGTATCTACTAAACGGAGAACGTTTGATATATGGCATGGAATTGCATGTCTTACAGATAACTAAAAATGTGACCGTCACGTACTGAGCTGGTGTCATAGTTACAAGAGAGCTCGTTTTACCATATGTGATGCTTGCTTCAATATCTTCAAATGTGAAACTTTCCTTTAACGACGGAGTGGTCGCAGGTTCACCCGTGCTAGAATTCTATCTTTTATGGCCATTGACATCACTTATTGACTCTTGAATGCTACCTATCGCGCCACCATCACTAATGACTTGAGCTGCTGCCGTCGTAGCCCGGGGCTGGTGTAACCACGAAATGGCGAGTGTCACGACAGGGCAGCGAAATAATGACGCAGGGCGCGGGATTCCAGCACGTGTTTACACTGGTCGCCAGAACATATCAGACGCCACCGTGCAGACTAGGCGCCGGACTGGAGGATGCCGTGTCGGTGCCCTGGAGCGGCCCGTACCGCCAGGTGTCCGTTCCGTGCCACTCTGGCGTCGGACTGGAGGACGCTGTGTCAGCACCCCCGGATCAGCTAGTACTGGCAAGCGTCCGTTCCGTGTGGGTCCGACGCGTCTCGTCATCGGGACCGGCCACCGGACGGCTCGTAGCCGTGCCCCAGCCGACAGCCCTCGACCAAGGCGCCGGCCCGCATCACGTATTTAAAGACGCCGTTCTACAGAGTGAGACGGGCACTCGCAGCACGTGCATAATGAACGAGCTCCAGGCGAGAATGAAGACCGGCGCTGGACAGAACCCGATCCGGCACGCGGCGCGCAACACTGAACCGCCTCTGAGCATTACCACGGGCAAGTCGTTCTGCTCGTGAAGTACAGCCACGGTCGCAGTCACGGCTACGGTCACGACCACGGCCACGGCCACGGCCACGGCCACGGCCACGGCCACGGCCACGGCCACGGCCACGGTCACGGCCACGGCACGGTCACAGTTACAGCCGCAGTCATGGTCGCAGTCACAGGTAATCACGGCCACGGCCACGGTCACTGTCAACCACGGTCACGGCCATGGCCACGGTCACGGTCACGGTCACGACCACAGCCACGGTCCCG